GTGTAAGATAATACACAGATGAAAAGCAAATAGCAGGTCTGTCAAGTGCAAATCATGCCACACCAACTGGATTTTCTTCGCTGATCTGGTAGGACGTAAGAGTAAAGCAACAGATGTAGCATGCTTCTGTTTGATTGTTAGCTTGTTTACAGAAATACCATAAATGAAGATGTCAATTACATTTATTGCATCTAGATCATGTGAGCAGCACAACTGATAAACATATTGTTTCAATAGCAAGCTACCACAAACATGTGGAAATACTTTTTTAGAGCCAGGGAGAGATGGGAACAGGGTTACTGTGTTTAACAGAGTTCAAATGGACTTGGACAGGGTAAAACAGATCACAACATAGTTATCCAATGTTTTATATCCTGCTGAAGTACAGGTAAGAGGAAGTTAGCTTACTTTGCTGCAAAAATGACTGAATGTTCGTTCAGAAGAGTCCTAGTAGGACAAGGAATACCAATACAGGTCACTCAGGGTTTGATTGCTACAAAATCTTTTTTACCAAAAGGACCATCCAAGCAGCAAGGATTACCAAACTACCCTCTTTATATGACAAAGGAAACCAAAGCCACTTAAAAATGGCAGAAATTGTCACTGCCAACAGCAGTACTCAACCAAGAGCATTAGTCGAACACAGCAGCATTAATAAAGTGATGTTAAACAAAAACTAAAACTTCCAAAACTGTTAGAGCAGAGTATGTACCTGATACAAAACCTCCATGTTCAGAGAGCATGGATCCTCGCTTCAGCTTCTCTGCTCCATCTTAAATGCCTTTTTTGCAAGTTAGCTATTGCTGCACACAGGGTTACAAGTTTTTTTTAAAACTTCAGAACTTAAGTTTCAGCTACTCTTTTATTCGGGAAAATGAAGGATATCTGAGAAATGTATCAAACTGGAAGGTTAGCTTCAGATGAATTGCACATAACACATTCCCAACAAAAACAGGTTTAATCTTTACTGTTACATGAGAAAATACTCAGTATTACATCTAGATTTTAAGATTACACAGATTAATATGGCATCTTCTTATTCTGTATCACAGACAGAGAGGTTGGACAGCCTCTCATCTTTCCTTACACCAGCCCACGCAGCTTTGACCTGCAAAAAGTTCTGATGGATGTCACAGTTCTCATGCAAGTTACCCTTGCATGTGAACAAGTGAAGGGACATACCCACTCACAACGAAACATAACCATGACACCACAACAGTCTGTTGTGATCTGCTATTAATCAGTGTCCAGGACACATAGCAGTAGCTAACCAAAAGGTTAACCTGGCCAAGAAACATTAGAATATATGAAAACATAACCAGCCACTCAAGAGTCAGTAACTCTATTAATCTTGGTAACTTTGAAAATACAGACTCAGTGTGCTATTAAGTAAAACTAATTTATATGAATACTGTAATGCTACTCCAGTCAGAAAAACTCAAAACATCACTTCACAAGTCATCTCTATTGCCAAAGCAAAGAACTGCACTGGGTTCTCTACAGAAGGAAAAATTATACAAAACTTATTTTAAGCTGGTTCACAAATGCTAAGTCTACCATTAACATTCTAGCTCACACCATGATTTTTCTGTTTGAAGTGAATCTCCTGAGAGTATCCACCACCCAACACACTCCAGTAGCATCTTGGAACAGTCCTGTAGTGTATAAAATCAGTTTTCTTTTTAATAAAACTAAACTGGAACAAGTACTCCAGGAACACACCAAACGTGTCCCCAGCTGTTAAGGGAACTCAGTGCACAAGACCAGACTAGAACTGCTCTGAGAGCCCCCTCTGAAATACATAGTGAGGATGTCAGTTTCTTACAGACACAGCTCTGCAGATCTCTAAGGAGGCTGTGCCACTTCCTAGCATACACAACCAATGGGAGGACAGGAGAGAAAGGAATAGATTGTCACAGGAAACTACGTGGTAGAGACGACATCACGCTTGATCTGCCTGGTAAAGTACTGCAAAGGAGTTACAAAGGAGAGTTGCCATTACCGACTTCCAAACCTGAGAAGAAAAAAGAGTCACAGCCAGCTGAGCGGCAACCAAACCACCCCACCCCTGCAATTACGAACGCTAGGTGAGGTCCTGGAATGCTCCCCAAGGGCCACCCAGCAAAGGGCCCAAGAACCGCAGGGCCTGGCTGGTGCCAAACGCACGCACCACCCCAGGTATTAGGCCTGCTCCGGACACTCAGACGGAACAAAGGGGACCCAACCCGCCGAATCCCGCGCCTCCATAGCCAGTGACAGCAACTCCCAGCCCAGAGCCCTGGAAGATCTGCTGCTCCCTGGGACACAGCCGGGTCTCGCCTCCTGCCCCCGCCACGATGGGTCCCCGAAGCAGCCTCACATTCCGCCCCCCGCCGCGCTGTAACTATGGTATGGTCCTGCGCCCCCGCCCGACTTGACTCCAGCCGCCTCCCTTTGGTCCCACCCCCGCCGGTGCCAGACAGAGCCCGTCGGTTTGTGCCGCCCAACCGGGCCGGGGCGGTCGGTTTAGCCCGCGCCCCTCCCCCCTCTCCCACAGCAGCGCTCTCCTCACCGAGCGACATGTCGATCTTCTCCAGGCTGTCGCTGCTCCCCTTCCGGCCGCCCGCCGCAGCCGAGGACCCGGGAAGCGGCGCCACAGCCCCGAACCCACTCATGGCTGCTCGCAGGACCACTGCTGCCTCCCCTCACCGCCTCGGCACCGCCCTCCACGCATGCGCAGGGTGTGGCCACGCATGCGCCCTTCCCACCCAAGCGCCGGTAGCTCACGCGTGCGCAGTAACCTCCCCTCCGCCCAGAGAGCAGACGCCTGCGCCGGAAGGAAGAGCTGCCTGCCCTCTTTCAACCCCTCTTGTCGGGAACTAGCGTGCCGCCCCCTGCTGCCTGGGAGGAACAGGTACAGGGGAAGAAGGCCCGGGGAGCTACCGGCTTCAGCACCCCGCTCTGCGACTGTCGAGGTGCCACTGGACAGATGGTCCGGAGAGAGCTTCAACAGGGACAGCGGGTGTCTGCGGGATAGGCGAACCCCCCCCCGCCACAGCGTGGTCCGGGGACGCCGGAAAGCTGGTGTCGGGGTGCGTTTGGTCCGACCAGGGCAGATGTGTTCATAAAGTCACCGGCTGGCCTAGAGCAGGGGAAGGTGCTCAGCCAAGTAGCTGAGCACAAGATGCCTTCACCTCCCATCCCACTGCAATTAAGAGAAATACCCTCTGCAGTAAACAGCAAAACCAACACAGGCCAGTTTCCAGTAGAATTATGTTTTCAAACAGCAGGGTTCAAAACACGTTCCCATTTCAAAACATCATGTAAGGTGTAAAATTACTACGTAAGCCCAGAACAGCATGGCTACTGACCTTTCATTTTCTTTGGGTTCTTTTCAGGGTTATCTTCTCCCACATTTGGTCAGAATCATGATTCAGAAACTGAGAAAAATTAACTACTTGGTATTTTTTAGCAAGGAATCTGGTGAAGCCTTTCCCTCCTCCCCTATATATATGCACTGTGCCTATATATAGGCACTGTGTTGCTGGGTCATCACACACACACAGCTAGTGGTCAGTTGGCAGCTGCTCAATGAGCTGCAACAGGGCTGAGTTCTACCTCTTACACAGTGGCTCTTTCCTCCTGCAACACTCCCTTTGCTAAATTTAAGGGACGGCAATTAGCTTTGCAATCTCTACATCTTGCTCATAGCTGGTTGAAAGTGGCAGTGGGTTCCAAAGATAGTAAAGGAAAGAGCAGGTGTCAAATCACATGCTTGCAGAGACTGCCTTTGGAAGCCGGACAGTGAATGGTGAGAATAAGATCTGTACCCATTTCCCCCACTTGCAGTAGTCACCTGCCATCTCTGCCTGCAGCTCCCTGAGTTTTCATCCTGGAGCTGTGCTGAGGCTGCCATTCAAAAACTGATTGCCTTTGCCCTTCATCTGTTTTTGCAACATGACCGAAGGACAGCTAGTTTTAGGACTGCCTCCAGTGCTGCAACTCCAGGGACTATATTGCAGATACCCTGGAGCAGGAATAAATATTTCCATATGCATGACTCCGTGCAATAAGCACACTTCTGCATTTCATTAACTGCCCATGTACTCCACATGCTCATTTGATAGAACAAATACTCTCTGGCAAATGCAAGTACCCACAAGCAGCTCCCTGTGTGTGCAGTCTCTGGCACCGTTCTGTCCCATGCTCGGAGGCACCTGTGCCTAAATACCTAAATAATACTAATACCTAGTATAAGTACCTAATAATACTAAATGGAGGGCTTTGCTCCTGACTGCAGAACTGGACATCCTTCTTGGAGTTCCATCAAGAAAAGTGAGAATGAGAGGAGAGCTGAGGCTTTCTGGCCACCGCTCTGTGCTGTGCAACAGACTGTTGACAAAGCCTTGCTCTCTCTGCTTATGCTCTTTATGCATCTCTTCCCTTTTAAAACAATGCCAATAACGGCTCTGGATGCTCCTCTTGCTGCTTCCTACTATGTAGAAGTGAATGGCTCAGTTACTGTCACAAGGCATCTTCAGCTCTTGAGACTATCTTCAGCTAGTGAGAGATTTTCTCTTTCGAGCAAGAGCAGCTTGTGACGACAGTGCTGGAGGCACCCTGTTTTCTTCTTTACGTTCTCCATGTGCAGCATAAGTTCAGACATGGAGTCCTGGAGCCACAGATTTGGTAATTTATGCATTTTCCTCCAGATGACAAGTGGGATTTGATGACAAGTGATTGATGACAAGTGGGACTTGAGGTTCTTAAAGTCAGGCCTCATTTCTAAAGCAAAGATGCTATCACCAGATTACCAATAAATACTAATAATAGAGCTGTCACAAGAGGTATTATTTTAAAAACATCAAATCAAATTCCTGTAATGCTGTAGGGTACAGCTCCATCTGGTGACTGTGTCACACTGATCAGCAAATGCTCTGTTTACCCGAAACAAATATGCTAACTGCAAAGGTGGCAGATGCTGCCTGACCTCGTGACAGGTGGAAATCAGACAAAATCCAGATTGTACCATATCCATGGGTTCCATTTATTACCCAGACAGGACACCAGCTGTCTGCTTCTCAGCACAACAGAAAAAGAAGACAGAAGTTCTGATCCTGAAGAGTGTTTTCTTCTGTATTGAAAATGGCTGAAATGCTGTGGGGATCATGATGGGAACTGTACAAACATCAGCTCTTTATTTTCTGTCTGGCTCTCAGGACTGTCTCAGCATCCAGCCAAGCAGCAAAGATTCCATGTGGCACTGACAGTTATTGTCTCCTCAGAAAAATGAGACTTCATGACTTGACTGCCCAGTAACCCCTGTTGTTATGATACATCATGGGGGAATTGCAGACCAGATGTTACCTGCTGTATATCCTGGCTGAAATTCCTAGGAGGAGGCGATAAAATTACCAAGCAGAAACCATGCCCAAAGAATCAGGTACTAAATACACGCGTAGATTTAAAGCCAGAGGGGACTGTCTAGTCCAATCTGTATGCCCTCAGCTGTGGAACACCTGCACTGATACCAGTCTGTGCTTCCCTAGAGGCATGGGCATTACCCCTCTGAAAAACAGCTTCTCATTTCTAACATGAAATTGTCTGGCAACTACCAGTAACTCCCAATCCTGCCTTCCCTGTGAAATTCTTTTAATGAGTAAAGAAATTACATTGAGTTGATAACTGACTTCATGTCACCCAAATCTTCTCTGAACAGCAGTCAGGTCTGCGAGATTCCAAAGTTTGCTACTGTTGAGCAAAAGGATATATACATGCTTTCATACATTTACAACTGTTGACCTCTATAGGCACTCCTCAAATTTTACACTGGAGGGTGACTCTTCAGTTGAACCTCAGCACAGTCGCAGAAGCTTACACACCCCTGTGTGACTACAGGCTCTTCGTGACTGGGCTTATTCTTGACAGGATTATTTCTTATATGCTCTCTAAATTGACAAAGGTATTGACAGTAGTTAAGTGAGCAGTGTCTATAAGTAACTTACAAAACAGTAATGAAGCAGGGGAAGAGATTTTCCTGAAGAAAGAGAATTTGAAAATTGCTGTTAAGCAACAGCCATGCTATCTCTTAACTTGTGGAGCCAGAAGAATCTTGTAATTCCTGATTTAGGAGCTAAATGAGATCTGTCAGCAGCCTCATCTACGTGCTCCACTTCAACAGGCGTGATCATCTAACAATGATCACAATAGTCTTGATGACTTGATTTCCTCCACTATTTTTACTGTGAGTTAATGCGTAGCCCAATGCCCTGACACCAGACATGGCACATACAGCCAGTGCTTTCCACCCGTCCAATCAGTGCATGAAAACTTCTGCACAGCGGACAACCAGCTGGAAGCTGTTGTTCCACACCTGTACACAGTTACTATGGCTAGGGAGTCCTAGGCTCTTAATTAAGTGCCTTCTGAAAAAAAAAAAAACAAAACAAAAAACCCCCAAAACCTACTAGTTTGTTGTTTTGGGGTTTTTTTTGCTGTTACTGCTTTTAGAATAGCAGTATAGAGCCCTATTCTCCCAAATGCTGCTGAAGTGCTGTACTGGTAAAATACAGAGAAAATGTCAGGTGAAGTGGGGTGTCTTCATGTATGCAGCATCAGTGAGCAGCACATATTTGTTAGAAGTAACAGATATAGGATGTTTCCACTGTACTAATGATTACCTTTGGTTTCGGACACATCAAACGTACATGGAGACATATCTGGGTTTTGTCTCCTATAATAATTTGTCACTGACTGTTCTCAGACTAGTGGTGGCAGCATCATTTTTATCTTTTCCAAGTTTCATGTAAATCTTCCTTGAGGAAAGTACATATAATTCTGCAGTGTTTTTCACACACTCTTTACTGCAGGCAATAGAACAGAAACCCCTGTTTGTCTCCACTGGCATGTTCGGTGCATGAGCTGTCTCTCAGGGACACCTTACTTGTTTGCTTTTCTCAGCATCACAATTTCCTCATCACCTCTGATGCAGGGTTTGTCAGCACTCACTGTGGTTTTACACTGTGGTGCAGCTACATCCCAGTGGAAACGCTTTACTCGGAGGGCTGTCAATAACCCGACTGCAACTCAACATTTGCACGCTGACACAGCGAATCGCTAAAGGGACCTAGAGCAGCCACAGACTCACCCTGGGGTGAGTTACAGATACGGGTGAGAACCTGTATCTATAGGGGTGGAGGACGCCGGGGGCCCGCCCCGCTCAGCGGCAGCGGCCGTGCCTGACAGGACCCCATAGTGCCCACTGCTCCCTTCTCACCTAGTCACGCAGGGCGCTGGCTCATGGAGCCACGCTGTCGCGGAGGACACCGAGGGCAGCGCAGAGCTCCGGGCGGTAAACTGAGGCGAGCCTCCCGCCACAGCATAAAGCTACCGCCTCAGCGCGGCCGCCTGCCGGGAGCCGTGGTTTTCCAGACGCGCGGAGGTTGGCGGGCGGCCGCGGTGCATGCCGGGAAATGTAGTTCACCACCGGGGGGGCGGGCGCAGGCCCCCACGTGACGGCGGCGCTGCGGCGGGCGGCGGCGCCGCGCGCCCGGGATGGAGGTCGGTCCCCGTGAGGGGCACGCGGAGAGCAGGTGTGTCCGCTGCGGGGGGCGGCACGTGTGCGTGCGTGACACGGCGGCGCGGGGCGTGAGCGGGACGGGCCCGGGGCCTGCGGCGGGGTGGGGGGGCTGCAGGGCGTGCCGCTGCCCCCGCTCGGCCCCTCCTGTATCAGAGCCACGCGTTGCGCTGACAGCCCGGCCCAGCTGCCGAGTGCTCCGCATCGCACCCCAGGACCAGCGCAGCGCTCTGCCCCCGGCACCGGGCGGGTGTCTTGCTGATGGATGGATGGAGGGTGGTCAGCAGGTCGAAGGAGGTGATCCTGCCCCTCTGCTCTGCTCTCGTGAGACTCCAGCTGGAGTACAGTGTTCAGCTCTGGAGTCCCCAATATAAAGAGGACGTGGAGCTGTTGGAGTGAGTCCAGAGGAGGCCACTGAGATGATGAGAAGGCTGGAGCACCTCTCCTATGGAGACAGGCTGAGAGAGCTGGGTTGTTCAGCCTGGATAAGAGAATGGTCTGGGGAGACCTTAGAGAGGCTTCCAGTGCCTAAAGGGGCTGATAAGAAATCTGGAGAGGGGCTTTTTACAAGGGCATGTAGGGATAGGACAAGGGGAATGGCTTTAAACTGAAAGAGGGTAGACTTCAATTAGACACTTGGGAAAAATTCTTCACAGTGAGGGTGGTGAGGCACTGGCACAGGTTGCCCAGAGAAGCTGTGGCTGCCCCATCCCTGGCAGTGTTCAAGGCCAGGTTGGACAGGGCTTGGAGCAACCTGGTCTAGTGGAAGGTGTCCCTGCCCATGGCAGGAGGGTTGGAACTGGATGAGCTTTAAGGTCCTTTCCAACTGAAACCATTCTGTGATTCTGTTGGCAGTGACAGTCACAGATGTACACCCTCAGAACCTTGTGCTCTATCTCCGATATGGTGGAGACAGCCACTCTCCATCAGACATGGCCAAGACGGCAGCTGCCAAGTCTCTCCTTCACACGCCTTGTTTTACGGGTGACGCCATCCTGCCCTGACGCTGTGCTGCTGCTGTCCTGGCAGCTCTGCAGCTTGCTGCTTTTGGATGATGTCTCCTTATCCTCCTGGCAGGCAGCTGCATCGCCCTTTCTGGGTGCTGGAAAGAAACCCCCAGCTTTTTTCTGTTTCTAAAGGCAAGGCCCTGCACCTGCACATGGCTGGCTGCAGGAGTGGCTGCGTGGTCTTCATTCATGCTTTAGGCATGGTTTTTCTTGTTGACATCTATAAAAGCAGCAGAGGTTGCTCCCTGGAGGTGTTTTGATGGCAAGTCCTGTTTACTTCAGGGTTTTGAATGTCTTCAGCCTTTGCTTTGTGCTTCGGTTTTGCCGTGGTGCTCACAGGCACAGCGTGGATGTCGGATGGAAAAGGGAGTGTTGGCTGTGGAGGAGAGAGCCACTGAAACTTGATATGGGAGACAAGCATTCCTTATCTGAGGGGCTCAGCCAGCCTCTCTATTCCTGCTAGCAATATCAGCCCGAAAAATGCTGCTGTAGCTTTTAAAGCTACAACACAGGTTTGGGGCAAACCTTTTGATTTGCATGGTTCGAGCTATTCTCCCTCTTTAGCTAACACTTCAGACTGAGCAGGTTCAGAAAGGTAAAAGGAGTTGACTGCGTTCATTTCTTTTTCTTTCCAGATTGTCTTTGTGCGTTTTCTTGCCTTTACAAGTGAAAATCCTGCACTACCAGACTCTATCATTGTGTTATTAATAGGGCTGAGCTGCTGCCACCCCCAGCCCTCCCCCAGGGATGCAGCAGGCGTCATCCGCTCTGTAGCTGGCATATGAGGGGGCCTGCTTGTGCTCCTGGCTATCACTGATGCGCTGGGGAGGATCCTGGCATGGGCCGTGCACAGCCTCGTTGTCCTTTGTGCAAATGGTTCAGCACTTTAATTCCCTGTGAGGTGCCATTTCACTAGAGATTGTGGCTGTGACTGACAGCAGTGGGGTAGAGCTCACTGGATCCGTCTTCCTATGTATCAGAAGAAATGCAGAAGCAGAAGCTATTTTGCTGAAGTCCATCCTTCTGCCAGCACAGGAGAGCAGAGCAAGGATTTTGCACTGGGTTTTGCTGTCTCTCCTGCTATGCAGCAGGTCTGACGTGCATTGGGGAGCCAGGGCTGTAACAGCGATGTCCATCGAGGCGCAGCAGGAAGGTTAGCTGGGCAGAGAGCAGGGCTTTCGATGCCTCAGGCGGGTGGTGTGGAGGACACAGCAGTGCTGGGGGTAGCAGAGGGGCCATTATCAGCTGGGCAGGTTGACAGAGAGCTGCTGCCTTCAGCTCCCAGGATCAGCAGGGCCTGAGGAGAAGGTCCCTAACGGAAGCCTTGCTGGGAGCACTGGAGGAAGGTGAGTGGCTGGCTGGTCCCAGGGAGGTGGGCTGCTGTGGGGGTCTGCTCTGCCTGTCGCTGCCCCTGGCTGCCTGTGCACAAGTTACAGGCAGGTCCTATGCAGATCAAAGCTTAATGGACAGTATCCTGGATTTATGGTTCTGTGGTCATCTGCCTGTGGGAGGTTTCACGAGGACAATCAGGTGTAACTACCGGTATGCTGTGCTGGGAGAAGGCTAAAACCCACCTTTAATCCCTATTTTCTTCCCTCATTGTTTGCCAGTGCAGAGCAAGAGTGCTCCAGCAAGGAGCAGCTCTGGGCTGCATTTGCTGCAGGAGCCTTTTACGGTTGTGCCCCGTTTTATACTGATGAATGCTTTTAGCACCGTTGCAAACTACCCTGTGTTTTGCTTCCCTGCCAGCCTGCTCGGCTGTTCCCACCCAGGTACTGCAGGGCTGATCTGCCGGGCTGGGCTGGCAGAGCTTCTCCTGGCTTCCTCTGCCTTGTCAGCCACTCCCCATGGCTGCAGATGAATTGCACGAAACCTGCCTGTCTTTTAATGCCCTTCCCCAGCAGTGCTGAGCCTGCTGGAGGAGCAGTGGGGGAGCCCAGGGAAGGGGCTGCTGGTTGTCTGGGAGACCCGGGAATGGTGAGAATGGGAGCAGGCTGTGCGCAGCAGTGGGTTGCTCAGTGCCTGTGGGATCTGCAGGAGGAACTGACAGTCAGCACGGGAATGTCCTTGGAGATCTGGTGGAAGTCCCTCCGTGACCTCACCATCCTCAGCCCGACCTTTTTAGGACTGAAAGCCTTCTCTAGGTAGAGGACAGGGTCAAGCAGCCTGTTAGGTGCCTCCTGCAGGGCACAGACACATGTTGACTGCTTTTTTATTTTTATATTTTTAATACCAGCTAGCTGTGTGATTCTGTTTTGGAAAGTAACCAGGGTTTGGTTTTGTTTTAAATGAAGAAGTTCACCTCAGTCAACAGCATTTCTCCCTGCCTCTGTTGTGAGTCACCTTTGCTGCCTTGGACCAAGAGAAGCTTCTAGCCTTGGTGGCAAGGAGGGGCTGAGAAACCCCTGAGAGATCAAGCAACGTTTCCCTCTTGTCATCAGCAGAGGCATTAAGTCATTTCTTGCTCCAAGGCTCTATTCTGTCTTCTACTGCTCCAGTGCAAAAGGTTCAGTTATGCTGAACACAGTTCTTGATGGCAGGTTGATGTTGCTGTAGCTGAAGGTAGAGTTTGTGGAGGTAAAGCAAGGAGACCCAGTGCCGAATTTACAGAGCTGGTGGTTAAAATTAGAGGCTGGATCAGAGGTTGTTGTCTTTAAGGAATGAGAGGGTTGCGGCTGTGGTCTCAGTGATGGCCGCTGCAAGCACAGTCAGCCGTTCTGGCTGGGGGAGCCAGGCTCTGCTAGAGCAGGAGAACAGAAGCACATGTAGTTCTTGCAGGGGAAGCTCTGCTCATGTACTGTGACCTCTGCGGGACACAAAACCCCACTCACCTTGCCCTTCTGTAAGTTTCTATGATGTGATTATGAATTGGCTTTACCTTTCTTTAGCACTAGTGAAGGGGAATTCTCTTGATTCAGGGAAGACCAAGCAGATTTCTTAATATTGCTCTGAACACCTGCTGAAATGGGGAACTTGTGGGCAGCTGGGCTCAGGCTTCCTCCATCCCTCCTGGCAGCCCAAGCTCAGGCTCTGTCAATGGGAAGGCAGCAAACCCTGTGCTAATTTGGGTTTAACCCACGAGTCCAGTCAAAGCTGAGATGTGGTTTCCCTGCCACCTGCAGCCAGCTGTATGGGTCTTCATTTCTTCAACCTTATGTCACTGCATGATATTCAGCATGCACAGTGTTCCGGCCCAAAAACAGCTGGGTTTTCAGTGTCAGTAGGATCTTGTGCATCCAACTTGTGAACTGCTTTGCACCAGCAAGTCCCATGGGATCCTTACTGTCTTACAGGGGTTTAATTCATTTTTGGTAGCTTCTGCATCACCTCTGCAAAGTAGCTTTTGTTATGCTACTCATTCCCTATGTGCCTCTGAGTTCAGTGTTTTAATATTTTGAGGTTATTTTGTTTGAGGGTTGCTTAACCTTAGTTTCCCTGTGCCAGGAGGGAGCTGTGACTCCAGCCTGTTGGATCCTGGTTTCCTACCTCTGGGGAGATTCACAACTCCTTTAATGAGAGAGTTCATTTGGAAAGGCACGTCTCTGCATGTCCTACCCCCACATCCTTATGTGCATCGCCTGCTTTTTAGCATGAAATAGCAGGGGAGGGAGTTCCTCTGACTCACTTACTTGGAAGACCAACAGCGTGGCTGAGCTTTCACTTGCATTTCCTAACTCTTGAGTGTCAGAAATATCCTGGGGAGGAGCTGATGAAGTTTTGAGCTCAGTGGCTGCAGA